TGGTAGGCAAGAGAGGTGGAGGGATGTGGTGTGCTTAGGGAAGAGGAGATGGAGGTGTGAGATGGGCTGGTGGTAGGCAAGAGAGGTGGAAGGATGTGGTGTGCTTAGGGAAGAGGAGATGGAGGTGTGAGATGGGCTGCTGGTAGGCAAGAGAGGTGGAGGGATGTGGTGTGCTTAGGGAAGAGGAGATGGAGGTGTGAGATGGGCTGGTGGTAGGCAAGAGAGGTGGAGGGATGTTGTATGCTTAGGGAAGAGGAGATGGAGGTGTGAGATGGGCTGGTGGTAGGCAAGAGAGGTGGAAGGATGTGGTGTGCTTAGGGAAGAGGAGATGGAGGTGTGAGATGGGCTGGTGGTAGGCAAGAGAGGTGGAGGGATGTTGTATGCTTAGGGAAGAGGAGATGGAGGTGTGAGATGGGCTGGTGGTAGGCAAGAGAGGTGGAAGGATGTGGTGTGCTTAGGGAAGAGGAGATGGAGGCATGGGATGGGCTTGTGGCGGGAGCAGGAGTGGTGGAGGGATGTGGTGTGCTTAGGGAAGAATAGGTGGAGGTGTGGGATGGGCATGTGGTGGGGGCAGGGGAGGTGGTACGATGGGGTTTGCATCTTCTGGGCAAGAAGAGGCGGAGGGGTGGGATGGGCTTGCGCTAGGCAGGGAGATAAGGGTGGGTAGGCTGTGCTTATGGTGGTCCAGGAGAGGTGGATGGAGTTGTGCTTGCACTGAGGATGAAGAGGTGGAAGGATGGGGTGTGCTTGGACAAGCAGAAGCAAGGGATGGGGTGTGCATGTGGTGGGCAAGAAGACTTGGATGGATGGGTCTGCTTGTTCTTAACCAGGAGATGCTCCTGACACAGTGCTGTGTTATTATTTGGGGTGATGGTGACCTTGGCTTCGAACAAGCCATAGAGAAACAGGGTGGCCCATGTTGTGTGGCATTTGCGACTTAGGGCCTCCTTCCCACTGCTGGATCCTCACCACGGCAGCGCAGTGGCTGCACAGTGCATCATTGGCTGACATGCGCTGGGGCATGCTTACTTGCCCTTGCTGTAATTTTTGATGATACCTTTTACAAGAAAGAAGAGCTGGGTTTATAAAGTCACCCTCGTGACTTCGGGATTGTTGTGCAGTGTTGGGAGAGCTGCCAGTGATACATGAGTCACTCATCTGCCTCCTGTCCCTCAGGGAGTTGATATTTGGTGCGGTGGCACATAGGATGGAATTTTGGTTTTAGGGCAGAAAAGAAAACATCTTGATGTAAAGAAAGCACAGATGGGCCAGACATAACAAAGAACTGATCTGTGGGCGAAAGCCAGTAAATGCCCACCTCTCCCATCAAAACACAGCTTCAAGCAGGAAAAAACACCGTGGGGTAGTACAGACGCACAGGGGCTGTTGAGAAGCTCCTTTCTGTGGGATCAGAGCCTCTGAAGTCAAGTGTCTAGAAATGCTGAAGATTTTGAAATCTATTAGAAGAGGAAAAGTTCTCAAGCTCAGCTCAGGAACGCTTTCCCCCACGTGTTTCCTGGAAGTGATGGCACACCTGAAACAGGGCTGGGATTTCTCACCCGGTGTAGGAAACCTCAGCCTCGGTGGTGCCTGGCAGAGGGCAGTGGGCACGGCGGTGCTGTGGGGCTGGCATGTGGGAGAGGCAGTGGTGCTGGGTCACCGACAGGGCATTTCTCAGGGTGAGATGTCCAAACGAAGGGTACGGCTTGATGTGGCTTTTGCATGGCCATTTCCAAGATGGTGGCTGGGCGGCTGGCATCCCGCACCCCATCCCGCAGTGCACGCTGTCAGGTTGTGATCTGGTGTCAGAGCAGCTTAGGTTGGCCACGGAGGAGTATCTGACATTTTTGAGAAGGTATGGCCTTCATCTCTCATCCTTTGGTATATAACCTGTATGGCATATAGGCCTACTTGCTTGACTTGATGTGTTTAGAGCCAATTTTCAGCTGTGAACACCCTTGTTTGTAACCTAGCCCCATTCAGCGAGAGCTGCCCTTTGACCGCATCATTCCTGTTACATGAGAAACGGTTTCTTCAAAACAAGTCTGTTGGGTTTTCAATGGCGGGAAGGATGGTAAACAGCTGAGGAGCGTGTCAGGCGGTGTGACGTGTCGTCCCCAGCGGTGGAGGTGCTGTGGTTTGCAGCACGTGGTACTTAGGGCTGCATCTGACAGCCATAGCCTGACGGCTGCTCCATAAATCACAGCAGCCCCTCCAGGACGCTGGCACGGGGGGCTGGGGTGCTTACTGAGACCTCCGCGTGGTCCCAGCACTCTCAATGCTCCGCAGTCCCAAATGCTGGGAAAGCGCTCCCAAACTTGGGCTGTGGATAAGGGGGACGCGCTGCTCCCTTGCACTACTGGGCACACGCGTGTTATTTTGCTCATTTATTTTGCTCGTTTAGGGAGAGCCAGGGATGACCTGGGGCTTGTTCTTTGTGAATTCAGAGACAGATTTAATACTTGGGCAAAATATTTAAATGACTGTTCCTCCAGTGAGGCCAAAAACAAATGAACCTCCATCCTGTCCTGGTTAGCAGCACTTCCTCACCCAAAAGCGGGACAATCTTTAAAGGCAACTACCTCTGCAGCAGCACCAAGAGATGGGCCCTATCTTTCGTACATATATGGGACAGCAGATGCTTTCCCGGCCAGGGCAGCTTGGCACAAACCAGTTGGCATAGCAGAGTCACAGGAACAGATTTATTGTCTTTGTTTTATGTTAAAATAGTGGTAGGGTAGTAAGAACAGTGTGGGGACTTAGTGTACAAAACCAGTTAATAGACCTGCCTGTGAGACGGAGTATCTGAAGTGCTCATGTCTGCTGAGTGCCGCCCCCCGGCTGCGGTCAGAGCCCTGTGCGTGAGAGCGATGGTGTAGGGCAGGAAGCCCCATTGTTTAGAGGGGAGCTGGCTTGCACCAGCTCCAGGTCTGGCCCCCTTCCCAGCAGGTTTATACTGGTGTGTGAGGGCCTTACAGGTGTGTGACAGCCCGTTATGGCGGGAGCAGCGCACGGCGGGGCCGCTGCCAATTATAGGATTGCACAACAGGGGCAGAGCAAAAAAAAGTCCATTGTGGTTTGAAGACACCAGCGAGCTCTGACGTTTTTTGTTTCAGTTCCCTTAAACAAAGCGGCGTAGCTGCAGGAAGCACGGGCCTCTGGGAAGCTGCTGTGCTGGAGCAGCCACAAAAGCTGTTTCTTGCCGTGGCTCCACCGAGCTGGACCAGAGGTCCCCAGGTGGGCACAGATGTGGCAGGGAGCAGAGCAGCAGCCCAAGGAGCAGGAGTAACTCTTACAGTTTATTTCTGTTTAACAGTATTTAAAATTAGCACAAATACACAGCTGAGAAAAGAGAATCATCTTGAGGTAACATGCCCCGAGCTTCACTGGTGGCTGGGCGATGTGATCTAACCAAGAACATGTTATTGAAAGCCAACACGTGACAGACTCTCAGTGCAACACCAGCAGGCAGGCTTGCTGAAAGGAAATTGAATGTTGCAGAAACGAAATCAAGAGTAGGAGAGAAAGGAAACTAGCTGTTTTATCTCTGAACTCTGTTATTTGTGCTGAATCAGCTTCAAGCTGTTTCTGTGGCTCCCTATAAGATCTTAAATAAATCTATCAGTTATTGGAGTCATCGTCTCATCTTCCCAAGGCTGTCTGGTGTTGACAGCTCTTGTGTTAACTGAGAAGCTGTTTGTTTCTCTCTCTCTCTCCCCCTTTTCCCGTTTCTGCAGACCGCAGATTCGGCGGTTCCTGTTGATCCTCGCGGGTCCCAGCACCCGCGCAGGAAACTCGGCTCTATTGTCAGGAGCACAAACCAAAGGTCATTTCGGGAAAAAGCGCAGCAGCAGGGTGCGGCCGCGCAGAGCGAGGGTGAGGATGGCCTTGGCAGGCTTTTTTTTTTTTTTTCTTTTTT